TGTGTGTTTCCCCTCCCGTGTCTTCCAGGCCAACAGAACCCTTCCGACGTCGACCGCCGGGCCCCGAGAGAGCCCCAAGGGAGAGTCGGCAACAAAAGGCGCCGAGAGAGCCGAGATGCCACACACCTAAGAGGCAACTACTGGGAGGTTTTCGTTGGAAAGACTAAGGAAAATTAAGCCCCATTTGGAAGCTGTTACGCCGGAGTGGGCCTCGGAGTAAACAGGTTCAGCCGGATTAAGCGGGATTAAGCGGGATTAAGCCGGATTAAGCGGGATTAAGCGGGATTAAGCCGGATTTCGGACCAGGGCGAAAACAGAATTTGACCTCCCAGGAGTTGCATCCGAACACACACCGTGCGTTCAGGCCCCAGTGCTCCGCACGACTTCCGCGATCGTGCGCGCACTGCTCTTTGCCTCGTCTGGGAGTCGGCGGCATGGCGCAGGCCCCTCGAACAACACGATCAGCACAAAGCAAGCGGAACAGTATCGGGGAGACGCAAGACTCGGGTACGGGGGACTCGGGTTGGCCCGACGGGGCCATCATAAAAATGACGAGGCCCAATCTGAAATTTGACGCGAGCTCCCGCTGCAGACATCCCATGAAAACTGGACCGTCAAAATCCAGGACGCGCTCGTCAAAAAAACGTCGGCAACCCGAGTTCAGGCTTACTAGGGTCTTGCGTTTCCCCGATAGCAGCAGCAGACGACCGGTGCCGAAAGCAAAAGTATAACTGACAATGGGGTGGTGGCAGTGGCAATAGGGATGATACGTTCGGGAACACGACCGGCACCTGACATGAGGATCGCAGAAGTAGTAGAAGCAGCTGAAGTGCTAGTTGCAGAAGCAGAGTAGCGGCATTGGTAGAGGAGTAGCAGCAGTAGCGAGCACGCCAGGAGATGGGGGCAGTGGTAGAATGAAGACATGAATCGAAAGCAGTCGCAGTCGAAGCAGCGGCTGTGGTGGCAATAAACTAGTACTCGAAGCAGTCGCGTTAGAAATCCTAGCCGTGGCAAGGCGCACAGCGGCTGTAGTGGCAAAAAACTGGTACCCGAAGCAGTCGCATTAGAAAGCCTAATTAGCCGTGGTGAGGTGCACAGCACTGCTGCCTGGTGCGGAGAACCCAGCCGGCGCTCGGGGCGCCCACGAGGCGCCCACGGGCGCCCACCAGGCGATACAGTCGGGGCGTTGACCTAAGGAACCCTAAATAACGAACGAGGCCCCTATTTTCCATAAGCTGAGCTTCGATTTCGTATCGAAAACATAAGGAAAATCCAAGGCAAGCTGCGAAACAATTAAGGAACACCGAGCCCCTCCCCAACGAAAAGGGTTCCTTCTTCAGGGCCCCGACTGTAACCCACAGCCATGGGCGCCCAACAGGCAAGCACTGCGTCGCGCTTTCGCGATGCTCTCCCGGACGGCATGCGAGGCCTCGGAGGAGGCTCGCGAGAGCTATGCGAAGGCCCTGGCGGCCTGCCGAATCGCCATCAGGAAGCCCCCAACGGGGCTCCGAGGGACCTCGGGACGCCTCCTGGAGCAGCGACTGGGCAGACTCCGCCGACGCTCTTCCTTTTCGGGGGGCCGGCGGACTGGCGCAGGCCTCTCGAATGAGCGCCGCCTTGGCCGCCGCAAGGTCGGTCCACCCTGCCGACACACGGGCTTGCGCAAGGCCCCCCGAGACATCGAAAAAGAGGTGAGCTCGGAGGAGCATGCGGGAGAACCCGAGGAGACGAAGGAGTGAATAACAGAAGCAGCACCGAGAATGCCAGGATTATCGGGCGTTGGCGGAACTGGGTTTAGAAGAAACCTGGTTTAGTGATTTGTACCGGGGGCGCCCCCCCGCCCCATTTCCACTAACCGGAACTGCCGTCACCCGAAAAACACCAGTTACGGCAAACCTGGTTTAGTGAATCTGGCCAATTGAGGGGCCCCAGGGCCCTACCACTAACCGGGTCCCCTTACCCGGGGTCCTGGCCATCCCCGAGATTAGTCAGGCAGACGCAAACATGGGTTGAGGATATGGATCTGGCGCGCTGGCGCCAGGTCCGTGGAACAGGAGAGGTGGCCCTCGAAGCATGGCGCCCATGCCGCACGATTTGGCGACGGGGGAGCGCCCCGACGGAGCCTGCAAACGGGACACGTCGCTGATCCGCGAGCCTTCACCCATGTCTGCGCCTCCTCGAATCAGGTATTCCCAGAGAGCAGGAGGCCGCCCGAGGCTTTGCGCAGCTCGCCGCCTGCTTGCCCCGGCCCGGGCTCGACGTCGGCAGCGAGAACATCGGAGGTGTCCACGTTGACTAAGCGAACAATCCTGCGACCTCCTGTATGCCTCTCCAACATCACCTCTACGTCCCACAACTGATTGCTCGAGTCCGACTGGCCGTCTGGGCGTAGGCAGCATAGGCGTTCCACCACTTCCAAAACCCTTGTTCCCTTCGGGCAGGGCTCAGAGGGGGGGTGCTGATAAAGGGCCCCCCTTTGCAATGGATGTCCGCCAAGATGGTCCCAGGAGGGTACCCGAGGCACCCGAGAGAACCTCGGCCTCAAGCGTCTTCAGACGACCCAAGAAGACTTCGGAAGCTCCCAAAATGGCTCCACGAGGGCCTCAAGATGGCTCCAAAAGACCTCCAAGAGGCCTCTGGGAGGCTCCCAGAGCGAAAGATCCGCGACGGCCGTTTGCTTGACCCTTGTCGTCGTCGTTGTCGTCATCCTTGATCATGTTCTTCCTCCTCCTCCTCCACTCCTCCTCCTCCTCCTCCTCCTCATCCTCCTCCTCCTCCTCCTCCTCCTCCTCCTCTCATCCTCCTCCTCCTCCTCCTCCTCCTGCTCCTCCTCCTCCTCCTCCTCCTCGCCCACCATTCCTTCCCCTCATAAACAGCTCTTCCCAATCGCACCACGAGGCCAGCCAGAAGGGCGGGCCAGGCGTTTCGCTGGTGACTCCCTTACCACTGGTGACCATGAAGCTACACAAATGCAACAATGTCATAGATGGAAGGTGGGTCGCGTCCAAAACGTAGCCCTCGCCTCAGCGCCGCGTGCACTCGTCTTGGCCTAAGAAATCGCACAAGTCTCGCGGATTGAGGACGGGCGGTTTCGAAATGTGGCTCTCGTCTTAGAGCTGCGCACACTCGTTTCAAACATGTGCACGAGTTGTTGAAGGGGCCCCAGGACACACAAATAATTCACACAAATAAAAGGATTCCCCATGTTTCCCATATTTTCTGGGTGTCTGTCTTCCCCCCCCACTTCCGATATTTTTCCATATGTTCTAGGGAATCGAGGATTAATTGTGTCTGTGTGTTTCTTTTCCTCCTGAGTTGTTACGGAGAGAGGGCGGGCGGTGTTCAGCATGTGGCCCTCGCCCTAGCGCCACGCGAGCTCGTTCAAAAAAAAGTGCGAGAGCTTCACAGGGTGAGAGCGGCTCCTTTTCAGCATGTGGCTTTCGCCCTAGCGCCGCGCAAATTCATTCGAAAAACACGCAAGAGGTTCACAGATTCCGCTGGCTAGCGTACCAGACACGACGCTCTGGAACGATTCAGGACTGCCAGGGCGCAACAGTCAGGTTGATGCGCGGTGTTGAAATTCCAAGAATGGGGTTCTGGCACGATTATGGATCGTTAAGGCGCAACAGGAAAGATGATCCGTGGCATTGAAGTTCCGAGGCTGGTGTCTTGAAACGCTTCAGTATCTTCCAACGGTTGTTCCCCAACGGGGCTCTCCCCGAAGAGGAAGTGACATATTGTGGGGGCATATGAAGATGGAGCTTGGATGAGTCTTGCGCTTACACTCGTCCTCATCCTCATTATCCCCATCCTCATCCCCGTCATCATCCTCATCCTCATCCTCATCCTCATTCTCCTCCTCCTCCTCCTCCTACTCCTCCTCATCATCATCGTCATCAGCATCATCATCATCATCATCAGCAGCAGCAGCATCATCCGTATCGTCATCGTCATCATCAGCAGCATCATCAGCATCATCAATATCAGCTTCATCATCAGCATCATCATCGTCGTCATCGTCATCATCATCAGCATCGTCATCGTCGTCATCATTAGCAGCATCATCATTATCAGCATCATCAGCATCACCATCGTCATCATTATCATCATCAGCACCATCATCGTCATCATCATCATCAGCATCATCATCATCAACATCATCAGCATCATCATCATCATCATCATCATCATCATCATCATCATCATCATCATCCCTCCTCCTGCTCCTCTCCATTATCCTCCTCATTCTCATTTTCCCCTTCCTCCTTCGAAAGAGAACGGCTACAAGCCTCGTTGTCCCACCACAGATTCCTCAACGTCCCCGACCAGACCCACTCGCCTTGGTGCTGTTGCTGGCCTAGGCTGGTGGGGGCACGCGAAGCGTCGAGAATTCTTGCAAGGGTGTACCTCCACTTGCCGGACGTGAACCGCAAGGCACCGATCCGTGAACAGCCCGTTGGCGAGCCGCACGGTCATCGGGTACAGCTGCAGCGGCCACCACCAGAGCCGGCCACCGAATAGCCACCGCTGGTTGTTCATCGCGATGTCCTGCCTGTTCTCCTTCCAGGCAGTAACCGTGCCTGCGCTGAAGGTATCAGCGTCGAGGAACAGGCGGGTCTCCACGTTCTGCAGCTTCACGCTCGAGGCGTCGCCCTGGCAGGATCAGTCAGCATCGAATCCAGGAATCGGATCGCATCGGAATGCGCGAAAGATCGGGCCGCATCGCGCATCGCCACGGAGTCGGAATCGAGATCAGATCACCTGCGCCAGGATGTACAGCAGCGCCATGCACAGCATCGGGACGCGTCGCATCGTCGGAGTATCGAAATCGAATCGCCTCCTCCTCCTCCTCCTCCTCCTCCTCCTCCTCATCCTCCTCCTCATCCTCCGCTTCCTCCCACCCCCACTCCTAGCCCTTTCGATCAGGGTCGGCGGCACCGGCCGTCAGGCCTCTCCAATCGAATCGGGTCAGAGCTCGCCGACAAGAATAGCGGCTCGGATCGGTCGGATCGAAAGGGGCCCCGCCTGGCCGTCCCAGATCCACAGCTGGCTCCTGCGCTTGCCGCGGGCCTCTGGGGGGTCCTCAAGACCGTGTTGACTACCTACCAGACCACCCCAACCCAACCCGAAGACCCGAATTTCGGGTTTGGGGGGTTAAGGGTTCCACATGTGTTTTTTCGATGTTTCCCGACCCCCCCCCCACTGGAAATCGAGGGTCAATCTGAGCCTTCGGGTTGGGTTGGGGTGGTTTGGTGGGTGGTGACGTGTGGTGACAGACTGCGCGGCGACCCCGAAATCCCAAGAGACCTCACCGCGCGGCCCGTCACCGCACGGGTTCGGGGGACCCCGGAGGCCCCCGTCGCCCGAGGCGGCCTCGGAGAGCGCCTCGAGTCCCAACACCGTACTCGGCGGTGGACAAACCTCCCTTTTGGTAGACCTCCCCTCAGTGAAAACGGCCTGGGACCGAGACCGACGGACCTGGACCCGCAAAAATGACGGCCGCGACGCCCCCTCGCGAACCGAAGACAGCCAATTCCTGAGTCGACGTGGGAGGTCTGCCCCGAAGGGGCCCTGGGACACACAAATAAATACACACAAATAACAAGATTCCCCATATTGTCCTATATTTTCTAGGCTTTTGTCTTCCCCCCCACTGCCCATATTTTCCCATATTTTCCTGGGAGGCGACGATTAATTGTGTCTGTGTGTTTTTTTCTCCTCCTGATGCCCACCCCCGACGCGCGGCGACCCCAGAGCCCAACGGCCTCCCCACGCGGTGGGGCCACCGCACGACGAAGACAGGACGACGACAACATCGGGGGGGAGGAGGAGGAGGAGGAGGAGGAGGAGGAGGAGGAGGAGGAGGAGGAGGTGGTGGTGGACGGCCATGAAGGCGGGTAGGAGGAGGAGGAGGAGGAGGAGGAGGAGGAGGAGGGGGAGGAGGAGGAGGAGGAGGAGGAGGAGGACAGGATATAAACCCAGAATCTCTGAGATCCGGCGGCCCCGGAAGATGCCTCGGGCGCCGCGGCCTCCTCGGAGCGCTCCGGAACGCTCCGAGAGCCCTCCGGAAGGCTCTGGACCCGGTTTTGAGGGGCGGCGACTGGGGGGGCTGGCACAGGGGGGATGCATCGACCTGGAATCGGCGATACATCGCCGATAGATCGGCGATAGGTTCCCGATAGCGAATCCACGCCTTCCTGGGCGGTGTGGGGCTATCGGGCCCCTATCGGCGATCAATGGACGATTCGGGGTCGACGCATGCACCCCTATGCATATCCCCAACTGTCATTGCCCCTGAGATTCATCCTCGCCCTAATCCCGTCCGACACCACACCGTTCCCAGACCCCCGACGTCGTGTTTTCACAACGCCGACTCCCAGAGAGCTGGACCATTTCCCTGGGACCGATGTTTCGTCCCGAATTGTTCTCTGACGGCCCCGAGGCTCGGCGAGGACCTCCAGAGGCCGAAAATGGCGAAAAACCTGGCGTCGTGATTTTTGCCACGACGCGAGGGGGTCTGGGTTCGTAGACGAGCGCGCTCCACGACTCGCAAGGTGTAACTGCTCGCCAGAGGCCCCGACCCGCCGCGGGGGATCGACGAGAAACTGCCTCGGAGCAGACATGTGTCTTTGTCGGACGCTTGCGAGTAGGCACTCTGCGAGTAGTGTTATGTCGGGCGTGTCCCCCTACAGGGTGATTTTCGACGGAAAAAAAACACCAAAAATACCCCAAATAGGCCAAATAGTCCCCAGACGATTTTTGGACCATGTTTTGACTATTTGGGTGGTATTTTTCTTATTCTTCGTCGAAGCTCCCCCTGCAGGGGGACAGGCCCGACTTAAGAGCAGTGGGACGCGCTCGAGGAGCTCGGCGCCCCCCAGGGCCTGCATCACGACGCCCGGGGGCCGGGACAGGGCGCGGGAGCTCCGGGCGTCCACGACCCGCGTGGGGGCGCCCTGCACGGCCAGCCGCCACTCGCCCGCCGAGCGCTCGAGCGTGACGCCGCTGCCCCGGCCGTCGGCCGCGAGGAACTGGTCACCTGAGGCTCAGGTCGGGCAGGTCCCCCTGCAGGCGGATCTTGGACGAGCAACCAAAAAAAAACTGCTCCACAAAATGTCGAAAATGGCAGAAACAGAGTCCCCATATATCTTTTTGACTACTGTTGAATATTCCTCCTGTGGAGGACAGGCCCGACTTACCCTGAGGCGGACGCAGACGCAGAACGGCATGAAGTAATCGGCGGCGAGCGAGGGGGGGAGATGAGAAGGAGAAGGCCTTCTCAGAGAAGGCGGCGGGACTTCTCAGAGGCCCTCGCGCCTTCTGAGAGGCTTTGTGTTTGTCTTCGGGGAGGGCTCAGGAAACTTCTCAGAAGGCCAGGGCACTTCCGAGCCTTCTGAGAAGGACCGCCCCGTCTCACTTCCCCCCCGCGCTCGCCGCCGAAATGTTCGCCGTCGGGGACGCCTTCCCCAGGGCGGCTGGAAAGTGTACACCCCGACGGGCCGCTGCAGGGGCATTATCGGGGGCGACGATGGGGGCGAAGAGCCGAAGGGAGAGGCGATACGTGTATTCAGGGCCGCCCATGGTCCATGCCTTCGGCGAGGCTCCCGGGCAACTACGTGCAATGCCCGCCTATGGGCTAACTTCAACACGATCGACGCCTCCAAAATAGACTTTCCAGCCGCCCTTGGGTAGGCGTCCCCGACGGTGGACACATTGACGCTATACGGTTCTTCGTCCACGGGTCACCGAGGAGCACGCTCCGTATCCGGTACCTCGAAAACGAACAAATGGCATGAACATAAACTGTAAGGGCTCCGCGCGGATTCCTTAGACCGGCGTTGGGCCCCCCCGCCAGCGCCTCCGGCGCCGCCCCCGGCGCGCTCCGTGCGTCAGTGAGGGCGGTTCAGCGCCGGTCCAACAAATCCGCGCAGGGATCTGAACGTTTTTGTTTGCCGTTATGCCCTCCAGTACCTCCCATCATCGGAGCCACCGAGCAGGTCCCAGCGCTGGGACATCGCCCACTCCGGCGGCTTTGAAGGGTCGTCGTCGGCGGCGTGCGACTTCAGAACCAGGTTCCCCCCTGGATGCCTGCGCAGGTACAGGTCGCTTTCCAGGTTCACGGCGAGGTAGCTGTGCCCGTTGTAGAAGCGGCACCCCGTGTATCGGACCCCACTGAAGGCATCTAAAACGCCAGCCTTCTTACAATCGGTCACCCGCCAGATCTGCTCCTTCTTCTCCCCTTTGGCCACGGTGTCCAGCGCGACCTCCTCGTTGCCGGCATCCCAGGCCGCGGCGCAGCAGAACCCCGCGGTCAGCCAGCAAGCCCGCATGGCCTCTGCGCGAGTGCGCCCAGCGGCCCTCGCTGTACCATAGGCCGTATGGGCTCAACGAGAAGCGCAAATCTCAGCGGGATCTACTGCGAAATCAGGAGGCACCGGATGTCGGGGGCGGCCAAGAGGGGGGCGTCCAAGAGCGGGGGTGCAAATCATGGCCAGCGGCATGTGCGCGGCCAAACGGGGGGGCCAGGGACGTAATGAAATAAGAAGGGGCGCCATGAGATCTGGGGAAATATCATGGCACACACCATGATATCCACCCCCCCCCTAGTCATCACCCCCCTCTTTGCCGCCCCCGAAGAAGGCACCGGATGCGCCCGCCCACGACCGGCCCGGTCCAGCACGGGAGGAGCCCAGGACGCATGGCCTCCCAGCAATCGCCGCCTGGCTCAGACGGCAGGCAGGATCCGAGCCAAGATGCCGACGCACAGTTAGTGTTTACACTTATCGCGCTGCCATAAAAAGCTCTGAATCCGCCACCGTGCCTGCATGGACTGGGCGTGTGACAATGCTACTCCTGTTGTCTGGTGAGGACCTGGGCCGGCACGGAAAGGGAAAGAGCGCTCCAGGAAGCTCGCCCGAGAAGGCTCATGGCACCGATCGCTTTGGGAGACCGTGGCGTGAAAAGTTGTTCCACGCCACGGTTCGCTATTGGAGGCCCTGGTGTGACGAGCTTTTCCACGTCATCATCCACTCTTGAGAGCCTTGGCGTCCAGAGTTGTTACGTCACCGCTCTCTCGTGAAGCCTTTGTGTGAAGAGATGAAGAGATGTGTACGTCACCGTTCACTCTTGGAAGCCTTGGAGTGTAGAGCTGTTGACGTAACCGTTCGCTCTGGGGAGCCTTGGCGTTAAAAGCAATTTGCGTCACAGCTAGCTAGTGGGAACCTGGGCGATCATAACATTATGGTCCATTGCTCGGTCGTGGGACAGTTGGCGTTCAAATATGTCTCCGTATCCGACTCGTGTGCAAAGGGCTTTCTGGTCACCTGGTGCTCTTGGGAGCCTTGGGGTCAAAGCTGCGTTCGTCATTTGGCCGTCCAGGGGGGTCCCATGGTGTCCTCTGGGAGTTTTTTGGGGTGTCTTGGGGCTCTCTTCGGCCGTTCTGGTAACCTCTTGGGCCGTTTCGGGTGCGTTGGCCTGTCTTGGGCCCCTCTTGGGGAAGTATTCGGCCATCTCGGGAGCCTCCTGCTCTTGGAACTCTCTCGGGGGCCTCTTGGGGCCCTCTTGGGCCCCTCTTAAACCGTTTTGCTGTTTTCAGAAGCCTCCTGGGGCCTGATTGTACCGTTTAGTGGATCCCTTGGGAGCCTCCTGGGCCGTCTCGGGCAACCTCGGATGCCCTCAGCACCGTCTTCGACCCATCTGGGCTCGAAATGGCGGGAACCCAGAAAACAATGGAAACACTACGGAAGATCAATACATGTTGCCTCCTTAGGCCGTCTCGGGGCCCTCTTGGGAGGCTCGTGGGCCTTCCTCGGAACTTCTGGCCATCTTGAAGGGCTTGGGTCGGCTTGAGGCGCTCTTGGGGCCCTCTCCGAGCCTATTGGGAGCCCTCTTCGGTCCCAATTGGGGCTCTCTGTGGCCGTCCTGGGGGCCTCTTGGGCCACCTCGGGGCCATATTGCGAGACTCCTCGGCCGTCTTGCGGTGGTCGCGGAGGTCCTCGGAGCCGTCTTCGGCCGATCTGGGCCCGAGAAGCCAAACACCTGAAAAAACAGTGGAACACCTATGGAGGATCAACATGCTGTGCCTCCTCTGACAGTCCCTTCAGGGAGGCTCTCGGGCCGTCTCGGGAGCCTCTCGGGCCGTCTCTGGGAGCTTTGGCCGGGTCCTCTCGGGCCCTCGTTCGGCCATCTCGGCGGCCTCCAGGGGCCCTCTTGGGGCTCTCTTTGGGAGCCTCCGGGGCCCCATCTGGACCCCACCAAAGGCCCTCGTGGACCGTTTTGGCGCCCTCTGCGGCCGTCTTGGGGCCCTCGTGGAGGTCCGTGGGGCCGCATTGGGGCGATCTTTACCGTTGGACGCAAGAAAAATACGAGATTTCCAATCAAAACATACAACTGCCCTGGCGAAGGACCCAACCCATTGCAAACGAGTGGCGCGTATTAGCAGGAATGCTCAATGCACATGAACATGCTGAAGGACCTGCAGTACCTACGAACGCTTCGCCACTCAGAGCCGCCCCATCTGCGCGCGCACTCTCACGACTCGAATCTGGTGCGAGAAAGCGATGGCGAATACGCGGCGAAGCACGAGAACGAAGGCACTCAGAGCAGGAGGAAAAATCTTCGGTCTGAGGGATCCACGACGGCTCGTCACCCCGCCTCTGCGCCGCGGGTCCGGACGGGGCGAGCCTGAGCTCAGCCGCAGAGCTCCTGCTCCTTCAACGTGTGAGGTGTGTGCCAGAATGGACCCGAGTAACCACGCGGACGCTACTGCAGTGGAGGCCAGTCCACAAGAAACCTTCCACAAGAAACCCAACCCTGAGACCCCAGGGCCTCCCTTGATTTCTGGGTGTGGGAACGTCACGCCTTCAATCGCAAAACCATCGAAACCCAAGAAACCCAGGGCACCCTGGAGGCAAGGAGGGTGTTTCTTGGCATGGGTCTCCACTGTACTAAAGCCTTCGGTGGAGCTCCCTATGGGGCCCCGAAGCGTGCAACGCGTCTGCCAAGATGGCCCCGAGCAACCAGGCGGACGCTGCCACTGCGGCCTTGGCCGAACCTCCCTGTGGGCCACGACGCGTGTGAGGGGTGCGCCGAATTGGGGCGGGTAACCATGCGGACGCAGGCAGTGGGGCCTTCGGCGGAGCTCCCTGTGGCGACGCGACACGTGTGAGGGGTGCGCCGAAAGGGTGCGAATCACCATGCGGACCCAGCTTCTGGGGCCTTGGCGGAGCTCCCCATGGGGCCAGAAAACGTAAGAAAGGTGCGCCGAAATGGAACGGGTAATCGTGCAGACTCTGCCACTGCTGGGACCTTCGGCGGAGCTCTCCATCGGAGCGTGAAAAATGAAAGACGGATGGAGATGATGATGATGATGATGATGATGATGATGATGATGATGATGAGGATGATGATGAGGATGATGATGATGATGGTGGTGGTGGTGATGATGATGATGGTGGTGGTGGTTGTGGTGAGGATGAGGATGAGGATGAGGATGAGGATCAGGATGAGGATGAGGATGATGATGATGATGGTGATGATGATGATGATGAGGATGATGATGGTGGTGGTAAAGATGATGATGATGATGGTGATGATTAGTATGATGATGATAGTGGTGATGGTGATGGTGCTGGTGATGGTGATGATGATGCTAATGATGGTGGTGATAATGGCGATGGCAATGGCGATGATCATGATGGTGACGATGATAACGATGACGACGATGATGGTGATGACGATGACGATGATACTGATGCTGATGCCAGTGCTGATGCCGGTGCTGATGTAAATGCTGATGCTGGTGCTGATGCTGTTGATGCTGGTGATGACGCTGATAGTGATGATGATGGTGATGACGATGATGATGAAGATGCTGATGTTGGTGCTGATG